ATTACACAGGTGAGAGCAGACTGGCACTGAAAAAGGAGAAGGCAGTGATGCAGTATGGGAAATGCAGATTGCAATGCAGTGAAAAGACATAGGTCAGTTGAAATATGCCCTATGCATAGATGAGTAAAGGATGCCAGAAAATGGTTAAGGCTGGTACTGCATTTATTTTAAATGAGGATATCAAATGCACTGAGAAGATGAGGGCAGCAAAGCAGCAAGCAATGGGGATTGTAGTAAAGCAGCAAGGGATAGGAAGTTATTGGCCGTACAGGTCAATAGAGCCTTGCAAAGGACAGAGTCTGGTGTTGGTCTTGCCCTGCACAAATGCTAGACTAGGGCTTTAATAAGAGTGATCTGAGCAGAGGGAAAGGTGGCAATATGTCAAATATTACAGAATACTGAAAAACATTACAGAATACTGAAAAGTGATTAGGAATTATACTCAAGGGCACCAATTGCATTATTGAAATTTTTATGTAAAAAATATATTACAAAAATTGAATTAGATTTTTAATTTAGACCCAAATATCAAGATATATTGTATAGATTCTGATATTTTAAGTAATGTGCTCCAATAAATAGCCCAGCGTCATTAAACTGTGCAAGCCAAGCTCTCATTACAAATGCCCCAATACATCTTCTACTGAACTATTTGAAAGGTTGATATTTGGAATGCCAATGTAAACACTGCTCTTCCTGTACCTCGCCTACAAATACTGCAGACAACGCATGCAGCTGTACGTCTGACACAGAGATGACCATAAGGGTTATTTAGCTCTGCAAAGCATTATAAGTAATGTTGCATTGATATGTGCTGTTATTTTGTTGATAGCAATGATGCTAAACCTAGATAATAATCTTTAACTCCCATACACCATTAATCACATCCTACGAGTCTTTCAAATATTTCACAGTATCCTGCACATCACTTTATATACCAGCATTACATTGATGTCAGTTGGTGATGATAACCAAAAGGATGAGTCAATATGCAAATTAACACATAATCAGTTCAAATCAGGTTATGAATAGTCTACAGGATGATTCTCAAATTAAGACCTTCTGCCTGTTCTATATTCTGATTAAGGGGTAAAGTGCATTCCTATGTACGTGGAAAAGCCTCAGAAACCCATTGTCTGCTTAGGATATGGTCCAGTAAGTGAGGTTTTTCAGACTAAAAGGGAACAGTAATGGAATGTATGAGTTTGCATGGCCTATTAGTACAGCCTGTTGTTGTGTAGTCTATACTCAGTCTTTCCTCTCTTGCTGCCCATGATGTTTGGGTGTAGATGGGGAGAACCTGGACGCAACTTGCTATTAATCAGAGGGTCACCACACAAAGCACTTGTGAGATGGGTTCATCGGGGAGTTTCTGGGACAGTGGAACACTCTTCCAAACTCTTCAAACTGAGAGACACTGCCTATGACCCTGAGAAAAGAAAAATAATTTGGTTTTGAATATATTGTTGATACAGTGTAAAACAATGACATTAGAGAACAATGTAACCAAATAATAAAACTAATCTCTCACATAAAAGAACCAGTAGAGTTGCAGTTTTACTGTCTGCATTTTTCAAATAGTCAACTGCAATTCACAGATTTTACTATTAACATGATGTAAAGTCATGATTTTATTAAAGACACGGAGGCGAGTATTATGCTGCACTCTTTCTTTATTTCCCTCAGCAGCAAAGGAAAATAACATTAAATCAGTATAAAAAAACCCTACTAAATAACATGAGAGGTATATCTTCCTAGCAACAGGAACAGCCAATCAGCATCCTCTTCATAGCATAATAGGTGGTGTCCAGTATACTACTTCCTCTTTCTTGCGATCCCGAACAAGGACAAAAAATCTAAATGAAAAGGGGGGCTCCACTAAGAGGGTATGCGAGCCTCAACCTGGACTTCGAAGTCAAATTGGAAGAGAGAGGAGAATATGGTAATATCCAAGTATAAAACTAGATTTATGCATAAAATTGCATTACATGGAATATCAGATATTCATAACATGAAATTCAGTTTAGTCAAACCATAAGCTCTTGTTGGTCATTAACAAGGATAAAACCCAGTAATCAACAAAGACTTAGGGTGAAGTCAACTTACCTAGAGAAGAAGAAACCTCCAGGGATGGGAGAAAGGGATAATACTCGCCTCCATGTCATTAATAAAATCATGACATTACGTCATGTTAATAGTAAAATCTGTAAATTTTATAAAGACACGGAGGCTCCTATTATGCTAGTTTAAAGCTGTGAAATTATCTTTCCTGTGAAGTGCTGAATAGGTTTAAAGTAGAAATCATGGAATTTCGACTCTGAAGACCAGCCACTCTCATAATATCCACCAAGCGACAACCAATCGAGGAAGTCTTAGAAGCCATTGCCCCACGAACCTAATGAGGCGCAAACACATAGGCATCAATACCTGCTAGAGACATAACGTATTTGAACCACTGGGCTAGGGTAGAGGTAGACACCGGAAGACGCGACTTTTGGAAGGAGATGAAGAGTTCCTGTTTTAAAGGATTCCGTCACGTAGTGGGACGAAGTTCATACTCCCATAAGCATGCAACAGGGAAAAGGAGAGATCTATCAGATAGACATGTGCACCGGTGAAATTAGATAAGAGTACATGCAACCAAATGTTTTAGTAAAAACTATAACAATGTTGCAGTATGAAAAAGTAGCTATTTAGATCTAAACAGCTACTTTTTACACGTACTCTTACCGTAGCTCTAACACTTCTATATAGGATACATTTATATACAGTTTTAAATGACAGCGAGCAGCCACTGGCGAGCCATGTAGTTCAGAATTTTGTATTTTGTGCTTTCAGGTGATTGATGTAGCGGACAACTGACACACGGTCCATCTTCAGAAGGATAGCGCATTGGGCTTGTGTTGGGGAGAAACTGTGGACTGCAAAGGAACCAGACAGAAGTTCCAAATAATTAATGTGGAGTGTCGATTCCAGATCTGATCATCTGCCCCTGGTGGAAATATTTTTCCGCATTTAACGCCCCAACTGTGCAAACTTGTGTTGGATTTGATTATCAAATCTGGAGCTGTATAGAATATGGGGTGTTCATTCCAAGCTTCCATGTGAAGAAGCCACCACTGGAGTTCATCCTTCACTTCTGAGTCCAGAGTTACCATATCTGTGTATGATGCGCTGCCCTTGAGATGAAGCTTGTAATCATTGTAGGGCTCGATAGCCAAGAGGACCTGGAAAATGGCGTGCATAAATGCCGCTAGTAGGCCTATCATTCTCGACAGTTGTTTGAGAGAGAGTTGAGAGGTTGCTAGTGTTTTTTAATTTTGCCACCGGAAAGTGTAGAGTTTGAAGGGTAGAATCTACAATAGCCCAATATAACCCAGAGATTTGATTTGTTGCGTGGGAACAATAATGGTTTTGTCCCAATTGATCAGGAAGCCTGGGTTCTCTAACTGAGTCAAAGTCCATGCTAGGTAGGTCCAGATTAATTGAATAGACTAAGCCAGAATGAAAATGCCGTCTAAATATATTATAAGATGTACTCCCCGACTCTGTAGCAGGGCGACCATAGATTTCATGAGCTTGGTGAAGCACCATGGAGCCGAAGACAGTCCAACTGGGAGGCACCAGAACCTCCCTTTCCTGCCCTGCTATGTGAATTGCAGGAAGTTCTTGATCTTGATGTTGGACTGCGATAGGCACTGGGAGGTATGCATCCTGCAGATCCAATTTGGTTATACAATCTGCTGGTTGGAGAAGATCCCATACCCCTTAAGGACACATGACATGTGTGACATGTCATGATTCCCTTTTATTCCAGATGTTTGGTACTTAACGGGTTAAGCAATGCACTCGTTCCATCTTGAAAGTGCCTCATAACCGTTGAGCTGTTTCAAATCTATCAATGGACGGACACCTTTGCTTTTTTGGGAACCAAGAAAAGGTTGCTCACGTAACCCAGGGTATGGGCCGGAATCTCTACGATGGCTTGTTTGCGCCTCAGTTCTTTTATTTACTCTGAGACAAGGTCTGCGTCTTAGTGGGAAAATACTATTTCCCTTGATAGGGAACATTTAACAGGTAGAGAAAGGACTTCTATGCCATACCCTATCACAGTGTGAAGAACCTAAGCATGTGATGAAATGAGGGACCATACATGGGAAAAATGTGTGAGCCTGCCCCCCACTATCAGTATGGAAGAATGGAGATTGTGAAGACTTACCATAAGGTCTTCATCCTGAAGCAGCACCTCTTGGGCCACTAACAACCCAGGGTCGACCACATGGGTTGGTATAGTGCATTGTTCAAAGAAACTGGCTCGGCCAGTATAAGAGCCTTGGTTCTGTCTAAAAGAACTACTGTTTATTCAGCCGGACAGACAACTCCTGGCTTTTCGGGCCCCAGCAAAAACTCTAGGGTTAAATAGCTTGCGCATCTTGGATTGCGCTTTATCTAGAGCAGTCAATGTGTGGACAAAGGAGCCCAATTCTTTTACAAAGTTGTCCCCAAAGAGAAAACCTTTTGCCTGTGTGTCTGTCTCGTTCAGAGCCATAATTAAACATTTGGGCTAAATCTTGAGCAAGATCGATTTGCGGCATTCTGTTGCGGCCAACTTAACAGATCACTCTCTGGATCCAACCACTTAAGGTGGTGCAATCTAATTCTAGACCATCTTTTACTGCTTCAAAGATCTTGGCTGCTAGGCTCAAGATGTCCAGGATTTTATCCTGACAGTTTTGCAATGAAAGATCTAAGCCTTTGGTAGGTTTCCATCCTGTCTTACTCAGGAATTCAATGATCTTAGCATCGACTGATAGTGTTTCACATGCGTCATCAGGGACAGTTCGGCGTGGGCATTCAGCCCGCATTTTATTTCACTTTGCCTTCTTAAAAGGCTTGCTTACTCTTGATGCAATATACTTGGCTACGTGATCTGAGGTGACCACTGGGTGACACAGGTCGTCAGGTTCGAATAGGGGTTCAACTTGAGGGTCCAAGATCCTATCAGTTTCCCCTGAGGCCGTATGATCTACCTCAATCTTGGTAGGTGTAATAGGAAGTATATCCCGCGCGGGATTAGCATTCTCTCCATAAATAATTTCATAATCAGGATCAGAAACATCCACTGAATCCTCCATATAGATCTATTAATTGCATCATCCGTGACAGGTATGGTACTGTCCATCTCTATTGTTTTGAAAGAGTGTTTAGCCTTATACAAGGCCTTGCGGCCAGGCTGGAGCAGAGCAGGTGTGAGTACAGGTACTGCCGTCTGAGTGGTTGGCTGGGCCGATCTCTGTGCCTGTAACATGGCCTGGGCAACTATCTGTGAAAGTGATTAAGACATAACCCCCATCACTGACACCAGGGCCTTCGTCATTGCTTTTGACATGGAAGTGTCACTTAAAGCCTGCATATCAGCAGGAGCAGTAAAATCTGCAGAAAAAATAAGCCTCATCTCCAGAGATACCTGGAGATGCTTCTAAATTAATCTGCATGTGTGCTGTAGTCCCAC